AACAAAAAAATCATTCTCAAAATATAGTCTAATCCAAAATTATGGAGTGCTGAATTAACATTTAAACCTGACTATAGTTCAATAAATTCATAATACTTTTCCATTGCATACACATGTGCGTACATGCATTTTATGGAAACGAAGGCACATGGATGTTTGCATGCCTATCACTACATCAAAATGGAGTTTGCTGGCTTTTATGTTCCACACACACACTACCCCCCCCCCCACATTTTCACATTGCAAGCAACAATTTGCTCAAAATGTTCCCTAAAGAAATGACAGGTGCCCCCTTCATGTTGCAGCTCGTCTGAATATATAAAGGGATCATTTGTGTGTGAGGGGGTAAAGAAGGGTCAGGGTCACATTGTTCTTTCTTGGCTTTGTTTTGTTGGGACAAAGCAAAGAGTCAAACTTGAATCTTCAGAGTAGAGGGGAGCCAAACAGATTGCTTGGGAACCTGCTTGCATTTCTAACTTATGTAACATTAATTCGATTGGACTGAACTCACAGGCACTCTCTGTCCTAACTTGTTTTTTGGTTTTTTTTGTTTTAGTGAAGCAAGGGCCATTTTCCCCTTGCCCCTTTAAAAATGATTCAAGATTTTAAAAACCTTTTTATAACTAAGCGATCTTCCAAATGTATCAAAAATCCCAGAATTTGGTGGGAGTGCCACCCTAATCTCTTAAAAGGTGCAGCTTTAGAGACGTGGCTAGCAAAGCAACGAGGCATGTCTTGCTCTCAGAAAGAAAGTTTTATTTTGGAAAACTAAAATGAGGTAGAAAAATACAGAGAACTGGAGCTCCCAGTGGTGCCTCGAAAAAGGAGGGACCCAGGTCAGTGACAATATTTTTGCTTTTATTGTTTCACAGTGCTGTGCCACCTTTTTGGGGCATCACTCAATCATTTGACCTCATCAGACTGGCAAAATAGGAAATGAGGGGAAGCCAAATGGTGACGCTTCCCCCTGGAGGATGAGGTGAGGGATAAGGTTGGCAATGCAGGGCATGGGCAATTGGTTCCCCACGTCCCCACTGGGCCCAGCCAGATTTGCCATGATGCCTAGCAAATTCCTCCCTCAATGTGATGAGGTCCATTGTCAGGCTCAATTGGTTAAAAGACAATCAGGTAATTTCACATCATGGTCCATGTCCCTCGTCCTGTAGTCTCCCTTTGTCTAGTTCAGTGGTTCTCAACCTATGGGCTCCCAGATGTTTTGACCTTCAACTCCCAGAAATCCTAACAGCTGGTAAACTGGCTGGGATTTCTGGGAGTTATAGGCCAAAACACCTGAAGACCCACAGGTTGAAAACAACTGCTCTAGTTCTTATCAGTAGGAACTTTACATCTCAAATCCATCATGTACAAGGCTAGTGCTGACACCAATGAGGCAGGGGAGGGTCCGGTAAGTCTCCAGCTTATCAAAGCCATCTATGTCTGGTAAGGTGGGCTACAGGGTGCTCACAGGAGTTGTACCTGCATTTCTTTAGAATGTTGTAAAAAAATCTGTATGATGTGTGTCCTGTCCCATCCTGTTTCTTATGAATTGCTGGTACTAGCTTTGATTTTTAAACCCGAGGTAGCATTGTTGTCCGTCCCCCCCCAATCCTATGGAGTTTTTGATGCACATCTATATCCATGGATTCAGTTTCTCCTGTACTTTTAGGCAATCCCAGAGATGACATTAAGAATGGTGGATCAACCTTTGTCATGGAAGTTGTCCTTCCTTCTGTCATGTTAGCTGTTACCAGGTTGAACATCTTCCCTTCCTTTTAATTACAAGGCTAAAGTAGCATCATACTCGTGGTGCTGCATACAAATTTAGTTATAGGGCTAAAGTAGAATCATACAAGTGATAGCCTATGGTGATGATGAGACTTTATCACTACAACTATAACAAACATGTTTTTTTAATTGAAAATTAAATGTTCAGGACTTTGGATAATAGAATAGTAGGGAAGATTTGAGATCGTGTATAAGACAATAGGAAGGGAAGGAAATCCTGCCCACAACACTGTTAATTGCACCTCAAAAAGAGTGGTACATTTAAGTCATGACTGGATGTGGAAGTGGGAGCAACTGTTGTGTGTACATATGTGCCTTTTAAGTAGCTTGTTGACTTATAGTAAGTGACTCCATTAATTTGATAAGTTTTTCTAAGGTAAGGAATACTCAGAGGTAGTTTACCGGTTCCTTCTTCTGATATATAGCCTACAGCTCCTAGTATCCGTATACTAATCAGGACTGACCCCGATTAGCTTCCAGATCAGATAGTGTCTGGTGCCTTTAGGATACTTTGGCTTGGAACAATTTTTATAAGGCACGAAATCCACATGATATCCCAGCCTTAACTGGATCTATTGGTCCATTTGGAGAAGCTCCAAAGATCTCTAATTAGAGTTAACATCTTTAACAAAATAGGGTAGAGAGTGATGGCTATGATTATAATTTGAGGACCAGTCCCCCTTTATAGCTCTATTGTAAACTGGAATGGAACACTGGAATGGTGGGTGAAAGTGTGAATAGACACATAGCAGCCATTTTCTACAAGGTGAAATATTCCAGTGTTGTAATACTTAGCAGCTCCAGCAAAGGATCACCGCCTTGTCGGGGCGCTGGAGCTTGAGCACCTCAATGATGTCATGAGCGAAACCGTGAAGGGCCACCCAAGACGGGACGGTTGTGGCAGAGAGGTCAGACCAAGCGTGATCCCTGGGGAAGGCAATGGCAAACCACTCCAGTATCCTTGCCAAGAAAACTAAATGGACCAGTACAACCAGAGATATGTCGGTATGCCATTGGAAGATGGGACTCCCAGGTCGGAAGATGGCCAAAATGCTACTGGGGAGGAGCAGAGGATAAGTTCAATTAGCCCCAGATGTGATGACGCAGCTAGCTCAAAGCCGAAAGGAAGGCTAGCGGCCGACGGTACTGGAGGTGAACGACGAATCCGATGCTCTAAAGATCAACACACCATAGGAACCTGGAATGTAAGATCTATGAGCCAGGGCAAATTGGATGTTGTTATTGGCGAGATGTCAAGACTAAAGATAGACATTCTGGGGGTCAGCGAACTGAAGGGGACTGGAATGGGCCACTTCACATCAGATGACCACCAGATCTACTACTGCGGACAAGAGGAACATCGAAGAAATGGAGTAGCCTTCATAATTAATAAGAAATTCGCTAAAGCGGTGCTTGGATACAACCCAAAAAATGACAGAATGATCTCAATTCGAGTGCAAGGAAAGCCTTTCAACATTTCAGTGATCCAAATATACGCCCCAACCACAGCTGCTGAAGAAGCAGAAGTAGATCAGTTCTAGGATCTGCAGGACCTACTGGATAATACACCAAAAAGAGACATTATTTTCAGTTTACAGGAGACTGCAATGCCAAGGTGGGAAGTCATTACACAGCTTAGAAACCAGCTCTTCCACTTTTCTCTTTCCTCCTTCCTCTCTTTTTTCCTCCTCTTCCCCCTCCCTTTTCCCTTTCCTAGAAGTAACCTCCTCCAAACAACACTTTAAGTTTTGTGAGCTATCCTTAGCCTCCATGGAGACACATTTCCCATGTGCAAACTTTAAACAGTCTTCTTGGACAGAGATTGACCAGCAAACCCAAAATGATGACTGCTGCCAGAGTAATCTGGCAGGAAACTCATAACATTGTATTCCATTTGAAGGTGAAGTTTTAAAGGTAAAGGTGCATTCAAAAATGGATCAAGGCATTTAGATTTGAAGATGCATACCATACAAATTTTATGGAAAAGCATGAGAACAGGGATAAAATGTAATGTTTATCATATGGAACAATCAGAGAAATTGAAATGGTGATGACAGGTATTTAGGTACATTTCTCTCTTATAGGCAGAATGAACAGGTGTGAAATTTACTTCCAATCCTTTTCTAGCATTTCAGTAGTAATGTAATACTTCAGTTGAGCATGTGTATATACAGTTTAGGCATCCAAAGAAAGAGGGCAGCCAAAATAGCCGAGAGACAACATGTGGGACTGTAGCTCATTAAAATACACGGAGTTGCACAAGAATTCATATTCCCTTTATATGTTGTCTTTGTGCATGATGCAGTGCAATTACCCAATGGGTTTCTTTTTCATATCAGGAGTGACTTGAGAAACTGCAAGTCACTTCTGGTGTAAGAGAATTTGTCATCTGCAGGGACACTGCCCAGAGGACGCCCAGATGTTTTAATGTTTTTTACCATCCTTGTGGGAGGCTTCTCTCATGTCCCTGCATGGGGAGCTGGAACTGACAGAGGGAGCTCATCCGCGCTCTCCCAGGATTAGAACCTCCGACCTGCACAAGGATTTCACCTGTTGCACCACCAGGAGCTCCACCCAATGGGTTGTCAGTCTCACATGTTAAGCACTGATTCACATACCCTGTTGTACGTGAGGATTCACTCCTGGAGTTCCACCACTGCTGCTTAATGTTGGATCTTGGCCAAAATGCACTCCACAAACTCTTGAGTCACTGGTTTTGATGGGGAGATAGGTACAGCCACCCTAAGAAGGGAAACTGAAGAGTCACAGAGCTGTGTATCTAAAAACTTGGTGAGAGTTGGGACTATGTTCCTGAACTGTCACTGGAAAACAATTGCACCATTTTATGGGAATCTTTGGTACTTTCTCAAGGTTTTCTCAATCTTTTTTCTGCCCTTCTCTTTTTAAAGCAGGATGCTTTCAACGTCACCTCTCGGCTGTCCTCCATATTTGAAAAGCCAAGTGCTAACAGGCCACTGCTGGGGGCTGTGCTGACACAATTTGGTCCCTGATTGTTTGAAGGTTAGAGCTTAGTGGGTGGCATTGAAACTCTCCGATTGCTCCCCTCCTTCTGTTCTTGTTACTATTGGTTTTCTCCCCCCTCCGCTTTAATTTTTTTTACCCTTTCCCTAGGGATAGAAGGAAAGGGCTGCATGTAATGGGAGGAAAGAGCCTTCGCAGCTAGCCTGAGACACTGACGGGTTTATTTACTCAAACAACAAACATTCGGCCTGCTGTAAGTGCAGTGACACAGGGCAGTTCCTGAATGGGATGAGACAGTGGGTCTTCACAGGAGCCCACCCACGTCGAGGAGGGCTCTTTCCCTTGCAAGGAAATGACAGTTTGAGTCACAGGCTTCTCAACAATGTGAGTGTGATGCGAAGGATCGCACAAGCTGTTTGCTAATAGCCAGAGGCAAAAGCTCTGCTCCTTATTTCCCTTTGCCCCCTTCTCTCTCTTCCCCCTTCTCCCTGCCTTCAGAGCCTTCATTCTTCTCACCCTTCTTCATACAGCTGGCTCTAAACACCTGTGTGGTCTCCAGGTTGCCTTAGATGTGCTGGGGGACGTGGGTGGGTGGGTGTTGGATAAACAAACATGTATAAAAAAAATTAAGAACAAAACTGTGCAAAACTGACCTTTTGTTTGTTATGGCAGCTATCAGGAAGAAAGGGTTTCCAGGCGAGTGCAAATTGCAGAAGAGGAAAACAGGACCCCCTTGGACAGCTGTGCCTGTTCTTAAGTGACCCCATAGAGCTTTGGGACATATGGGTCTTTACAAATAAACCAGAGGTATGTAGATACAGTAAACAAAAATGCTTATATAAAACACACACATCCCCCCCCCCCCCCCGAACAAGGTTCTTGGAAAGCTGTTAAAACTCTGCTTGCACATATCAGCCAGAACATCAGATTGTTACACTTGGGTGGGGGGGGGGGGGAGGAACTTCAGACAGAGAGAATGAATGGAGGCAATATTGGCAATATGACACGAAGCTGATTTCTGTGCCTCTGTCTTGTTGGCTTAGTTGTAAATGATAGATGCTGTAGTGTGTTCTGGGTGGAAACTAGAGACATGTAAGCCTGTGTAGCAATTTTGGAGTTTTCAACAGAGTGAGAAGCTTAGAAATCCATTGTGCAGTTGCACTGTGGTATCAAGGAAGTATATTTGTTGTGTGGATTTGTTCCAGGCTCAGTTTAAGTTAGCATGGAAGTTGTTGAAATCCTGGTGAAACTTCTAAAGTGATTACTTTCCATGTACCCAGACAACAAAAATGTCATCAAGATATAGGCAGAGAGAGGTTTTGGGGACGTTAGTTGAGAAAACTGTTTCAGTTTAGCAATGAAGATGTTTGCATACTGTGGTGCCATATGTTTGCTCATGGCAGTGCCATTGACTTGGAGGTACATAGTTATGAGTGAATACATATTGGCGGAGTTTTGTGGCTAGATGTGCTGTCAGTCCTTTCTGACTCAAACTTTACTGCATTGTTCTACTATTGTTCTGACTGCATCGCTTCCTTCAGACATGCTGCTGCAACCAGGCACTGTGAGCTTTTCCAGCTCTCATCCACCATCCTTCCAGTGTGGATGCTTAAAAAAACCAAACTTACCAACTGAACAAAGAGTGAAGAAGAAAGAGGTCTGAGAAGATTTAACAGGTGCTGCTGCAGCATGTGCAAGATAATAAGGAAGGAGAAGTATTTGACAATGGTAGCTGGCAGGCCTGTAGCGAGGGGGTGGTTTTAGGGGTTTAACCCCCCCCCAAATGTTTCAGATTTTTTTAAAAAACCTGGTTTACTCATGAATTTTAACTGGTTAACCAAATCCCCATGCTAAGTCTATGAGATGCAAAAAATTAAGAGTCCCTCCAGAACTGTAAACACTATCTCAAGCAAATATTGACAATTTATTCACACTGTCATTACTTGCAGCAATAGCCAATGTAGTGAAGCAACCAAGTTTGGGGGGGGGGGTGTTGAATGCTCTCATTAAGGAGGCCAGACTTGGTGGAGGTGGTTGACAGGGGGGAGCTGCAGGCTATTGAAGGCTGCTCTGCCCCCTGCTGTGCTCTTTGCTTCAGCGTGAGCTAGGAGGCAGGTTTCAACCCCCACCCCCCCGGGAAATTTTCAACCCCTCCCGAAATTTTCAAACCCCCCCCAAAATTGTCAACCCCCCAAAAAATTTTTCTGGCTACGGCCCTGGTAGCTGGTGACTTCCATGCCAGTGGAATAGTAAGTATATTCTGAGTTTTAGTCAAGGTGATACAGGATCTATCCAGAGCGCGAAACCCAATCTTCCAAATATATTCAGCACATTGGATAATTTAGCTTCTATAATGGAATCTGGGCAGGCTTATCTGCCCCAACTAACATGGAAGCCATCCGTTCCTACTGACTGGTGCAAAGAGCAATGACACATCTGTTGAATAATCCCCAAAGAACTAGCAGGAAGAGGCCAAAAAAAAAAAACCCAAACATTTGTTCAAGACACACTGGCCTGATATGCATAGAAGATGTATTACAGGCTTTATCCAATATCCATATCTGCATGCTTATAAGAAATATTTATTATTTATTTACTGTATTTGTATACCACCTTTCTCAGCCAGTTGGCAACTCAACTGTCAGGTTTCATCCAACTTGGTCCATGAGCTCAGATTACCTGTTGTTACTAACTGTTGGTATAGTCAGCACTCAGCAGAGTTATTTTTGAGATGCCACAGAGTCTAGAGTTAAGTTGTACTTATCTCCAGAAACTTTGGAGCAATGGGCTCAAAAGACAAGTCTTTTATTAGTGAAAAAGCCTGATATATCTTAGTCTATAAGAACTATTAAGGCCTTCTTCTTAGGGCCATATAAAATCATAAAAGGACAACAAATAAATGCATGATATGGCAGTACATAGCATAATGTGCAATAATTATTACAATAATATACTACCTGTGGACTGTACCTGTTTAGGATTTAACTAAACTTTTTTAGACCAAGAGCTTTCAAATCATTTAATGGACAAATAGAAACATGCAAATGAAGGCTGATGTCTTGAAAACTTTGTGGGGTTGCCTTTGAAGATGGCTCGGAAACTGCAATTGATCCAAAGATCAGCAGCCAGGCTACTAACCACAGCCAGCTATAGGGAGCACACGAATCCCCTACTAAAGCAGCTCCATTGGTTGCCGATAAGTTTCTGGCACCAATTCAAAGTGCTAGTTATCACACATAAAGCCCTAAACAGCTTGGGACCCGCCTAGTTTGTGATAACATCCCCCTATGAACTGACGCAGGCTCTAAGATCTGCCAAGGAGGCCCTCCTCTCGGTCCCATCACCATCACAAGCATGGTTGGTGGGGACGAGGGAGAGGGCTTCCTTGGAGATGGTCCTATGACTTTGGAACTCCCACCCCAGAGAGATTAGACAGGTCCCCACACTGTCCTCCTTTCATAGGGACTTGAGGGCATGGCTCTTCAATCAAGCCTTTGAGAATATTTAGCCCATAGTTGTCCTGCATACTAGTCTCACATCCTGCACTTTATCCCATGCCCTTTCTCCATTATTTCAGTTGGCACCTATTTTATTCCTAATGTTTACAGCCCGGCCATGCTTACAGGAATTTACCACCACGGTTAGAGAATCGCAGCTTGACTGAGTCTGTATTGATGTTTTTATATGTGCATGTGTTTTATTTTATTGTATTTTATATCGTGCCACTTTTATGTTTATTTTTAGGCACTTTGTGCCGTCTGGAAGCTGCCCCGGGTCCCTTTGATGAGATGGTGGAAGGATATCACAATAAAGTTGTTGTTGTTGTTATTGTCAGAGTATTTATTTATTTATTTATTTACCTTACTTATATACCACTGTTCTCAGCCCGAAGGCGACTCACAGCGGTTCACAACAAATACGAACAGCAGAAATTCAGTGCTACAGTATAGAAATAGTTAACAACCTAACACATTACACAATTAATAAACAGTTACTACAGTACCCATTCACTGTTGCCTCGTCATCAAAAACATGTTCCAGATTCGTCATCCATTGTTCCATTCCAGTGTTCATTAACCAATCATTGCACTAATTATTGGAACGCCTGCTCAAACAGCCAGGTCTTCACTTTTTTGCGGAATACCATTAGAGATGGTGCTAGTCTAATGTCCGTAGGAAGGGCGTTCCACAGCCGAGGAGCCACCACCGAGAAGGCCCTATCTCTCGTCCCCGCCAGCCGAGCTTGAGAAGCAGGCGGGATCGAGAGCAGGGTCTCCCTGGAAGATCTCAAAGTCCTGGTGGGTTCATAGGCAGAGATGCGGTCAGATAGGTAGCTTGGGCCGGAACCGTTTAGGGCTTTAAAGGCCAACGCCAGCACTTTGAATTCAGCCCGGTAGCAGATCGGTAGCCAGTGGAATTGGCGCAACAGGGGGGTTGTATGCTCCCTGCGCTCCGCTCCTGTTAAATCATGGCTGCCGAACGTTGGACTAGTTGGAGCTTCCGAGCTGTCTTCAAAGGCAACCCCACGTAGAGAGCGTTGCAGTAGTCTAAACGGGATGTAACCAGAGCGTGGACTACCGTGGCCAAGTCAGACTTCCCAAGATACGGGCGCAGCTGGCGCACGAGCCTAAGCTGTGCAAATGCTCCCCTGGTCACCGCCGAGACCTGGGGCTCCAGGCTCAGCGATGAGTCCAGGATCACACCCAAGCTGCGAACCTGCGTCTTCAGGGGGAGTGCGACCCATCCAACACAGGCTGTAACCCTATGCCCTGTTCGGCCATGCGACTGACCAGGAGTACCTCTGTCTTGTCTGGATTCAATTTCAATTTGTTCGCCCTCATCCAGACCGTCACAGCGGCCAAGCACCGGTTCAGGACCTGGACAGCCTCCTTAGTAGCAGGTGGAAAGGAGTGACAGAGTTGGACATCATCCGCGTACAGATGACACCGTACCCCGAAACTCCGGATGATCTCCCCCAGCGGCTTCATGTAGATGTTAAACAACATGGGAGACAATACTGAGCCCTGAGGAACCCCACAAGACAATGGTTGTGGGGTTGAACAGGTGTCCCCCAACAACACCTTCTGAGATCGACCCTCTAGGAATGACCGGAGCCACTGCAAAACAGTACCTCCAAGACCCATCCCCGCGAGGCGTCCCAGAAGGATACCGTGGTCGACGGTATCGAAGGCCGCTGAGAGGTCCAGCAGCACCAACAGGGACACACTCCCCCTGTCGAGCTCCCGGCGCAGATCATCCACTAAGGCGACCAAGGCTGTCTCGGTACCATGTCCCGGCCTAAAGCCAGACTGTGCCGGGTCTAGATAATCCGTGTCTACCAAGAATACCTGGAGTTGTGAGGCCACCACACGTTCCAAGACTTTGCCCAAGAAGGGGAGATTGGAAACTGGCCGATAGTTGTTGAATTTAGTGGGGTCCAGTGATGGTTTCTTCAACAGCGGTTTTATTATAGCTTGTTTTAAGCTCGCTGGAATCTTGCCTTCCCGAAGGGAGGCATTAACCACCACCGTAATCCACTCAGCCAATCCCCCTCTGGCCTCTTTTAGAAGCCAGGATGGGCAGGGGTCTAGGATGCATGTGGTAGGCCTCATTCCTCCAAGTATCTTGTCCACATCCTCGGGTTTCACCAATTGAAATGAATCCATCAAAACTGGACAAGCAGGTGCTCATGTTACATCCTCAGAGACTGCCTTTAACATGGTATCCAGACCAGAACGGATCAAAGCGACTTTGTCTGCAAAGAACCGAGCAAATGCTTCGCAGCGTGTGGCGTTAATGTGGTATCCAGACCAGAATGGATCAAAGCGACTTTGTCTGCAAAGAACTGAGCAAAAGCTTCACAGCGAGAAGTCGAATTGTCAGGGTTCCCACCTTGAGCGGTGGGATTTAAAAGGCCTCTGACAATTCGGAACAGCTCAGCCGGGCGGTTCTTTGCAGACGCAATAGTGGCCGCAAAGAAGTCCTTCTTTGCGGCTTTTATTGCCGCGGCATATGCCCTTAAAAAGGACACAAACCGTGTTCGATTTGGCTCGCTCGGATCCGAACGCCACACGCTCTCTAGTTCCCTCTTCCTTTGCTTCATCGCTGCCAGCTCCTCAGTAAACCAAGGGGCAGGTTTAGCTCGGCTACTTGAGAGGGGATGTTTAGGAGCAATCGTGTCTATTGCCCTAGCCATCTCCCCATTCCAGAGAGCGACCAGGGCATCAACAGGATCACCTACTGAGGCGGCGGGAAACTCCCCAAGAGTATTGATTTATGTATTGTCCTTTTATGATCTTTTGTAGCCCCTTGGTATTAAGAGTACAAACATGTTGAAATGTTTTGGACTTTTTACTAATAAGACTAAAATCTGTCAACTTGTACGTATGGAGAAGATAACTTAAGAGGAGAAGATGTTATGTTCTCCAGGGAAGTACATTGATTCAGCCTCGCTTATCAGTCTGTTGCATGCATAGCAGGGCCAAGTTGAATAAGGATGCTTGTAGAATCTGTGTCTAGGCATACAGACACCTTAAGATAATTGTCTCCTTCCTCATGCTAGAATCTCTTGAATCATTAGATTAAGGCATATGTCTCTTGAATCAT